GAGTCTCATGGACTTTCATGCTGGGTTGGCTTTGAACCATATCTCTGATCTCGGCCTCCTGAGTCACTAGGATTACAGGCGTGAGCTACCAGCACCCAGCATATGTCACATTAGATTCTTTTTCTTTTTTCATGAGGTAAAAATATTTGTGTATGTGTGTGTGCTGGTCCTGAGGCTTGAACTCGTTCAGGGCTAGTGCTCTACCACTTGAGTACATTTCTACTCCAGGCCTTTTGGTAGTTAATTGGAGATAAGAGAATTTTTTGTTGTTTGTTTTTTTGTTTTTGCCTTTGCCGGCTTTGAATCTTGATCCTCAAATCTCAGCAGCCTGAGTAACTAGGATTACAGGCATGTCACAGCATGTGGCTTGTCTTCTTCTTCTTCTTTTTCCTCCTCTTCTTCTTCTTCTTCTTCTCCTCCTCCTCCTCCTCCTCCTTCTTCTTTTTTGTTGGTCATGGGGCTTGAACTCTAGGTCTGGGTGCTGTCCCTACGCTCTTCAGTTCAAGGTGAGCACTCTACCACTTGAGCCACAGCACCATTCTGGTTTTCTGATGGCTTATTGGAGATAAGAGTCTCACGGACTTTCCTATCTGGGCTGGCTTTGAAACATGATGCGCAGATCTCAGTCTCTTGAGTAGTTACGATTAAAGGCATGAACTACGGACACCTGGCTTCTTGTCCTCTTTTTTATGAATTAAAGTTCTCAGAATGTGTCTTATATGTGTGCAATTGTGTAAGTTCTACATGTGAATCAATGGCATTAAAAATCGAATGGCACCCTGTCTCATTACATATGTAATGAGTAGCTGTATAAATGACTATAAAACAGCTTATATTAAACATACACTTGTTTATTGTTTTGGCAGGCTAGGCAGGTTAACAGCATGGTGCCAATTCAAGCCACAATCTCAGTGATTTAACAGGACAAAAGTTATGCAGGAGGCATCTGCTCTGTGCTTGGCTGACTGTCCAGGACAGGTGTTAGGCTTCTGGTGGCTCAGCATTCTGGGCTTCTCTGATCACAAGGCACCTTCATAGGGACATATTCTTTTCTTGGGGACCACTGGAGAGCAAGAGTTGACTTGAAGCAGGATAGAGCAGGGAAAATAAAGCCTAGGAAACGGCAGCCTGGACATTCAGAAATAAACACTATTTTAATGAGGAGCTCTATCATAAACACATAAGCACCATTATTTCTGCTTTAGACCGTATACTCCTTCATAAGCTGTAATGTTTAGTACAAAGAAAAAAGCAATAAGAGGAACAGCCCTCTCCCTCTGACCTTGCTTGCTTGCTTAAACGATTAGGGTGCTGTGAGAACGGAGCAAGGATATCTTAAAGAAAGAAAATTACCCTGGGAGAATGACTCCTCTTGGCACAAAACACACTTGAGCGTAAGACAGTTATCTTGGGGATGGACACCTGTCTTGGTGGGAACATGTGACAAAATCCATCCTTTGAAGGATGCCCAAATATTAGTGACCCCAGTTTCACAAGCAGGTCAATCTTGAAGTCTCTGTCCCCAGTGAATTAAACAGGGTCACAAGAAGAGTGATTAAATGAACCAGTCGTGGAACAAAGGAGAACCTTTAGCCTAAGGAGAACCCTTGGCCTAAGGTAACTTTGAGCCAAACCCCAATAGCTCAAGGTTTCTCTTGTATATCAGCCACATTCTACCTACTAGAATGTGCCTCTATTTGCTGTTTGCTTGTGTGCTCCACTAAGCTCTGCCAGATTTGTTTATCTTTATGACTGGTCCTGAAATCCTTATTCTGCCGTCAAAGTCAAGAATTTGGGACACAATTTGTAAAGGTAATCTTTACAAACCATCAGATATCAGTTCCAGTGTATCCACTCTACTGGCAGTTAATGCTTCTACTCCAGATGTGACCCAAGTCACTGTTCCCATTTCATGCCCAAAATAAGCCAGATAAGCATGACTAACTGTAAAGGGATGGAGAAAGCTGTTTCCCCTGTGTCAGGATGCTGGAAGGAGCCTGTATTGGTGAAGAGTATTAATGTCCATTAACATAGGTAAAATTAACATCACAGGAATATTATAAAGAGAGGGCTACAAGTGTTTCAGAAGATGCTTATTATGTAGTAAAATATAATTTTGTTTTTCTATCAATAAGTGGAAGTTGGTTCCTTGATGATGCACATTCTTATTTTGAAAGCAACTGGCCAGTGGGGAATTCAAATTCAATTCTATTGCACAAGCTGGTTGATTAGGTGGAGTCTGCAAGACTACTACTTTTTTTTTTCATACCCTTGTGCTTTTCGCTTTCAGAAATCTCAGGTGTGCAGCCTAGGGAGATAAGATCTATGGGAGAGAGTTTCTGGTAAGCTCCTAGGAGAGCTGTCTGTATTCCCAGAACTTTTCATTGCTTGAAGACTTTGTTCTGTTTTTCACAAAGGTTTGTAGAGTTAACCCAATCAACTTTCTGATTGGGTTCCATTCCTATCTTGGAACATGGGTGTTTGCTCCTCAAGAGAGTCTCAGGGTGCCCCCTAGGAATTCAGCACAGGGACAATAGTAGTTGATCATACTGATCTTGCATAAATAGGAGGATAAAAATGGCTACAGAGCTTTTGAGAAAGCAGAAAAGCCAACCAGAAACTACAGTGAATTTTTCTTCCTTCTCTAAAGCACTTAGGAGATGATTGGGAAGGTCAGTGTCTTTACATTTGTTTTACCTTTACCTCTCTCTCTATTTTTTGTCGGTCGTGGGGCTTGAACTCTGGGTGTGAGCGCTCTTCCTCAACTCTTCAGCTCAAGGCTAGCGCTCTACCATTTGAGCCACAGAACCACTTCCGGTTTTATGAGTAGTTAATTGGAGATAACAGTTTCACAAACTTTCCTACCCTTGATGGCTTTGAACCACGATGCTCAGATCTCAGCCTCTTGAGTAGCTAGGATTTCAGACATGAGTCACCAGCCTCGCTAATGAGTACAATTATTTTTGAACAGTGTTACCCCCTCCCTCATTTTTCCCATTTCCCCCACTCCCTTCCCCCCTAAGGTGTAAAGTTCATTTCCACCATAGTGTTCAGTAAGCATCACTGTTGCATTGGTTCACCTTTTGTCCCACTGTTTCTCTTCCTCAAATCAGGTAAAACTTACACAAGACAAAGTATACAGAAATCAAAAACAGTGACAACAGGGAATAAACCAAGGGGAGAGGGGGAAATAGAAAAGAAATGACTGCAAATAGTATACCAAAAGGAAAAAAAAACCCTCTTGCTTCCATTTCTTAGAGTTCATTTCAATAAGTACCACTTTATATAGCCATATGCACATAATTATTGAGCTATTGTGATCCTCTGTTAAGAATATCCTAGACATATTCTAGTTATTACAAATGAGGGAAAACATACATCCTATATTTATTTGGATCTGGCCTGCTTTGTTTAATATAATTTTTTCCAAGTCTTTCCACTTCCTTACAAATGGGGCAATGTCATTCTTTCTGATGGAAACATAGAATTCCATTGTGTGTGTGTGTGTGTAACATTTTGTCGATCAATTCTCTACTGAGGAGCATCTGGTTGATTCCATATCATGGCTTTGGGCTCATCCAAACTTTTAATGATCATCAGAGTAAAATGAGAGCAGGAGCAGGAATTAGTGACTCATGAGTTGGGAAGCTGAAGCATGAATGTCCAGCTGTCCTGAGTTACAGGGTAAGACCTTGTCTAAACACCAACTAAAAAAGAAAAAAAAGGTCTAATTCCTTAAAATGGGGAAAAGAAATACTACTCCCCCTTTCTGTTTTAACATGAGAATGACTAAAATTATCCCTGAACTAATGTTTGAGAGTTGGGGGAATGTGTCTTCTTCCATTGGAAGAAGGAATAAATCTAACTCTGACCTGGGGCTCAATAAAAAGTCCAGTTTCTCCATGTTTTAAGAAGTTGACTGCAGGGGCTGGGAAGATGGCTCAGTGGTAGAACACTTGCCTTGCATGCATGAGGCCCTGGGTTCGATTCCTCAGCACCATATAAGCAAAAAGAAAAAAGCTGGAAGTGGCGCTTTGGCTCAAGTGGTAGAGCACTAGCCTTGAGCTGAAGAGCTGAGGGACAGTGCTCAGGCCCAGAGTTCAGGCCCCATGACCGACAAAAAAACAAAAAACAAAACAAAACAAAAAACCAAGAAGTTGACTGCATGGGGAACTGGGAAGCATCAAGTGGCCAAACAACGTTCTACGAAAAGTTGGAGTCAAAAAAATATTGTATAAGACTGCGATCTGTAACACGAATAGCTTCAGAAATTATTCAGAAAGAGGATACGGAAAACAATCAACACACTATAGAAGGAATTGAAACCATGCAAATACTGTAAAAGAAAAAAAAAAAAAATCAAGAGCTCCGCTGCGAGTGATCCCCTCTTTCTCCAGGGGGCAGCAGAGACGCCCAGGGCAGGGACAGGTGGGGACCGTGCCAGCGCCGGGCTCGGAACGTCTGCTCCCTGGGGCGATTTGGCTGGCACGGGGCAGAAGGAAGAGGCGGGGAGGTAGATTCACAGATAAGCTTTTGTAGGCAATACAGTTTGCTGGCTGGACGGGAGGCGGAGTAGTAGCCGGATTAAAGAAGCAGCCTGGAAGGAAGGAAGGAAGGAGCGAGGGAGGGACGGGAACAGCAGCAGGAGGAGGAGGAAGGGCAGCGCGCTGCGCTGCACTAGGGGCAGCTGGGGGACACATTTTGTTTTTGTCATTTTCGAGGAGAATAGTTCCCCGCGGGTTGTAGCCGGGACCGATCGTGTTGCCGCCCCGCGGGCCCCGACCTTCGCAGGTGACAGGCGGTCACCCCGGTCGGAGTCGCTCCGCCCTGTCACCCTCCTCCCGCCCACAGCCCCATTCTCCGCCCCGCTTCGCAGTGCCTGCCCCCGGCGAGCGCGCGGCCGCAGCGGGCAGCAGGGCTGGAGCCCGCGGCGCCAGGGGCCTCGGCACCGGCTTGGAGGCCCGGTAAACCAGCTGGGGAGGAAGCGGGCAGACGAGGCTCGAGGCTCGATCGGAGCACGGAGAATGCCCATTTAACTCGCCCTCTCCTGCCCATCGGCTGCCAGGCGCTCGCCTCGGTGCCTGCAGCCAGCGTCTGCGAGCCGCGCCCGGGGAAGTGCCGCATGGGGCAGGGCCGCTGAGGCGCGGAGTTGGGGATCCCTTCGCGCCCCAACCAGCGCAGGGATCCAGTGCGGCTGTTGGCAGTTTCGGCGGCGCCTTGCACAGCCAGACTTGGGGGCGCGGTGCGCCAGGCGGGCCACCCCGCTGCTCACCAGAGGAACGAGTTATGGAGCCGCCCAGCTGCATTCAGGATGAGCCGTTCCCGCACCCGCTGGAGCCGGAGCCGGGCTCCCCAGCGCAGCCTGGCCAGGGGAAGCCGGGCGACAAGCAGTTCCGGCTCTGGTACGTGGGAGGCTCGTGCCTGGACCGTAGGACAACGCTGCCCATGCTGCCCTGGCTCATGGCCGAGATCCGCCGGCGCAGTCAGAAGCCGGAGGCTGGCGGCTGTGGGGCCCCCGCGGCCCGTGAGGTCGTCCTGGTGCTCAGCGCGCCCTTCCTGCGCTGCGTCCCCGCGCCCGGGGCCGCCGGGGGCGCGGGACCCTCGGCCCCACAGCCCAACCCCGCCGTGTTCATCTTCGAGCACAAGGCGCAGCACATCGCGCGCTTCATCCACAACAGCCACGACCTCACCTACTTTGCCTACCTGATCAAGGCACAGCCGGACGACCCCGAGTCGCAGATGGCCTGCCACGTTTTCCGCGCTACCGACCCCAATCAGGCAAGTCCCGCGTCCTCTGGGGCTGGGAGAGCGGGGGGGACCGAGGAGCGGGGACTGACTTTTAGGTCTCAGCGCTCGCGCGCGCGCGCGCTCCACGTGGCGCGCTTGGTGCCGGGCTCGCCCCCTTCCTGGGACTTGGGAATGAAGGAAAGGTGTTTGGGGCTGGGTAGGTGTTGGACACGGGTGGTGGGAGCAGACGACCTGCAGACGCAGGGGAGATGGAAAGATGGAAGACTAGTGTCCTGGGATCCAGATTGGAGCTTCCCCTGTTCCAGGACGCAGAGATCATGGTCCCGGGACGTACGCCGTGGCTTGAGTATGATTGGAAGTGGTTTGCCTGGCCGTTGCAAGTGTGTGCAGGTGTGTGTGTGTGTGCGCGTGTGTGTGATTGTGTGTGTGTGATTGTGTGTGTGTGTGTGATTGGAACAGGAGAGGGTGGGGTTCCCAAAGGCCACTGGCTGGTTCTTAGTCAAGTGTTTTGCACCTTAACCCGCCTGATCCGGCCGGGTCTTCATCGAGCACCCATTTAAGAGATCCAGTCCAGAGGAGGCGATTTCAGAGCTGGGCTGGGGGAAAAGTTTGGAACATTGTCAGGTTGTCAGCAAAGTACAATTCTGAGTTTGGACGTCCAATGGGAAAACGTTCTTGTAGTTTATTCACTCATTGGAGATAAAGTGTGCTAGAAGAGAGTTCACATCTACTTCCTTACCCCCCACCCCCCATCCCTTCTGCTCACCTAGGGCCTTGCGCGCGCTGGGTGAGCTCTCTGCTACCTAGCTATATCGTGAGTTCTGAAGAACGTTTAATTTTGGTCCCCATTTTAAAAAGGATCAATTCTCTAGAGTGTAGTTGACTCGAAATGATGTTGCTAAACTAAACTTTTACTTTCCTAAGAACAGGTGCAATTCTTATCCAACAGCGGGAAGGAAACTTAAGCGTAGCGGTTATGCTTTTGAAAATAGGCTTTAAGTTTTGTTTTTTTTTTTTTTTTTTTTTTTTTTTGTTCCTCAAGTGCTGTTTATAACTAAATGTTTGCAAAGTATTGGAAAAGTATTTATTTTATTTTGGAAAAATAGCGTTGGCTAAATATAAATAAATAAAATCTCAGGTTTTATCATGTGGCATTCTTTGGACAGTTGGGAAATTAATAGTCCGATGAGAAAAACATCTTATAAGCAAGGCTTTCATTTTTTTCTCAGTTCATTAATGTAGTGTCTGCAATTGAAAAACATTTGTTTACAATAGTTTTCCACAAAAGGTCTAGTGAGGAATTGAAGGAAATAAATGTTGGTTGTCTTTTATTTTACTTACTTATCAGTTACTTTGTAAAATAGTTAAATATCATAGTAATCAGTGTGTTTTTCCAGAGTGAAAAGAGCTAGTTTTACTTGCTGTCATTTTTTTTTTTCAGTTATAACATATGGCAGAATACCTTTCTACAAATGATTTCAGATTTCTGATCATGATTCAGTGAACTTCATGTTATGCTCATTGGTTCAAGACTCATTTTTAATGGGCACACGTGAGGAAATTGGAAACTTTCTGAAAATGTAATGGTCTTTATTGTATTAGAAAAGTTCGGGTTCTGCCAGTAAGGAAGAATAAAGTGTATTTTTCCAGGCTTTTCAGACTTCCATGACTGTTAGTGGTTTATGGTGAACTTTTGTTATGTATGTATGTATTTATTTATTTTTACAGTTCTGATGCTTGACCTATTATTGCTAATTTCATTGCTGGTCATAAAGTATTGAATTCTCAACAGTTACTCAAGAGGCTGAGACAAGTTCAGGCTTCAAAGCAAGCCTTAGCAGAAAAGTCTGGGAGACTCTGTTTTTTGGGGGGGGGGGTCCGGTTGTGGGGCCTGAACTCTGGGCCTGGGCACTGTCCCTCTGCTCTTCAGCTCAAGGTGAGCGCTCTACCACTTGAGCCACAATGCCACTTCTGGCTTTTTTTTTCTTTTTGCTTATGTGGTGCTGAGGAATTGAACCCAGGGCCTCATGCATGCAAGGCAAGCACTCTACCCCTGAGCCACCTTCCCAGCCCTGTGAGACTCTTATCTCCAGTTAACTACCAAAACAGCTAATTAACAGCTGTTAATTAGAAAGCCACACAAGAGCTCAGAGGCCCTGAGTTTAAGCCCGACTGTAGGGCACACAAAATAAAAATAAAAAATACAAAGCCAAAACCCATCCTTTTTACTCACCTCCATATTAAGCATTAGAGACTGCATGTTTTGCTGCTACTTTACTAATGGCATGTTTAGGATTATTTCCCCCTTTAGTCCAGTGGGAGTCATAAAAGCCATATGTCTTTCTGGTAGAAGACATTTCCCAGATGAGTCTTTGATCTAAAGATATGGATTCTTATTTGCTCTGAACTGAGAGAAGCTCTGGCTGGGAATCATTAACTTGAACGTCCAGATGTGGTCTCCTTAGGGATTTTCTCCAGCCATTAATTAGAGGTTACAAATTCAAATGCCCTTAGTGAGGAAGAAGGGGACTGGATACAGGGTATCCTCTTTCAGAGTTTTACTCTGCAAGTTATAGGAATGAGCGCAAGCTCAGCATTATTGAGAGCTACTGTTCTTGCAAGACCACGTGGGAATCTGAATTTTTATGTATGACTTCACATTTGAAAGTATTGACACAGACTTGAAGCATGGAAAATTCTCTCTGTTCTAAACAATACACATCTGAAGGATGATTCCAGAGAGCTGTGGGTTGCCACTGTGTGTGTGTGTGTGTGTGTGTGTGTGTGTGTGTGTGTGTGTGTGTGTGCGCGCGCGCACGCGCCAGCCAGTCCTATGGCTGTTGTGTAGGGCTAGCTAGCACTCTTATCACTTGAGCCATTACTCCACTTTAGGCTTTTTGGCAGATAATTAGAAATAAGAGTCTCATTGACTTTTCTGCTCAGGCTGGCTTTGACTTGTGATCCTCAGATCTCAGCTTCCTAAGTAGCTAGGATTACAGATGTGAACTACTGGTGCCCAGCTTGGGTTGCCACTGAACTTTTATATAAGTATGTTGAGTGAACGAGTATACTTACCAATATTGTGATGCTTGTTATGTTCCTCTTTTGAACATCTTCAGTTCAGTCAATATGGCTGTCATTGGAAGGACCATTGTTTTTACAGAATTTACAGGTAACAGTCTCAGTAGTGGTTGATTCTGCAGCCAGATGTACTGAAGGGATGAGTTCATATGAGTTAATATGAGTTCATATTAATTCAGGAGTAGACTCTGGATAGTTTTGGACACTCTGGATGTCAGAGGAAGATCTGATTGTTTTGTCTTGATTCTACATTTGAACTGGAGACTTACTTAGTTGACTCAAAGTGACTATTGAGTCTCCTGTGTTTGTTTTTTTGTTTTTTGGACTCAGTGAGCAAAGTATAGAAGGTAGACATAGAAGGTAGCCAGATCAGTGGGTCTGCAAACATCTCAAAATAAGCTTGCCGCTGGCTTGTTCTCATGGTTGTCTTTTGTCTACAATGGCCAGTCTGTAGGAAGATCATACATGTATTGATCTGGAACAATTTTTATTTTTCTTTTGTTTTGTTTTGTTGTTGTTGGTTGTGAGGCCTGAACTCTGGGTCTGGGCACTGTCCCTGAGCTCTTCAGCTCAAGGCTAGTGCTCTACCACTTGAGCTTTACCACTTCTGGCTTTTTTTTTTGCTTATGTGGTGCTATGGAATTGAACCCAGGGCGTCATGCATGCAAGGCAAGCACTCTACTACTGAGCCACCTTCCCAGCCCTCTGGGACAATTTTTAATGTGGAAAAGGTCATCATTAACAAGGACACAACTTATTCACCTGTAATGTTCATCGTCAACTGGGACATACATTTACTGTGGCTGAATGGCAACGTCTCCTTTTGTGCTCAGCTTCTGAGTTGGAGGATTGTGGTTTCTACTAGAGAATGATCATGTTTTGCAGAATATCAACTCAGATATCTTTTCTGAGGGTGGATCTCCATGTGACCTCAGAACTGGAGGCCTATATTGAGAGCTTGAGTATGTTGTAAGGAGTTGCCGTGGTGATTAGCCCCCTGGCTCCACACCTTGCCAGCTGTGTTGTGGAGAAGCTCAGCTGTAATGGACTAATACAAGGACTTTTTTTTCTTTCAGATGCAAAGAGAGGTGGAAATGAGGATCAACTATGTGTTAACACACATGGGTTGGATCCCATTTATTCAAGTCTAGGTAGTCTTGTATGGAAGGGACTATCAGATAGCACATTTGAATATTTAAACTAGAAAAGAACCAAAAAATATGCATACTCTAACATCCCGCTGACATAAATAAATTTTTAAGATATATCAACAAGGTCATTTCTCACTTCCTTTTTTTTTGTAGTATTGGGGTTTGAACTCATGGACTAGTACTAGGCAGACACTCTTGGTTAATCTTTATGGTTTGTGGTCAATGGCTTTGGGAATATGCTAGTCAGACAACCAGAGAAATACGAATCTGGAACTCTTCACTCTCTCACTTTCTAACTGGTGGACCTGTCTCAATTTTTGATCTCTCTTCCCTGCTCAGAGGTGGCTAATCTAGCTTGTATGTGGGGGAAAGGTAAAAACCTGCGTGCAGACCTCCCAGCTGCAAGGGAGCGCCTTATAACAGAGCCTTCTGCTGCAGCTGAAGGCTGTTCTTTATCAGCTTAGTTATCATAAACAGAGTTCTCAAACTTGCCTGCATATCCAAATCACCTTGGAGAGGTGGCTGAAGCAGATTGGGTAACTCTATTTTCAATTTCTTTTCGTAATCTTTTTTTTTTTTCTTTCTTTCTCTTCATACTGAGGATTGGATTAGGGTCTCCTATTTGCTCTACCAGTCCCTTTGAGCAGTCTTTTTTTCCTTTTAGTTTGTTTTTCCAATAGGGTCTCCTTTTTTTTTCCTTGGGCTGGCTTTGAATTGAGCTCTATTCATCTCCACCTCCTGAGTAGATGGGATTATGGACAGTGTAACACCCCATGCTTTGTCCTCTTCCTACATTCA